AAATCTCCAGATTTGGTAATGCATATTTTTCCAATTTGAGGTTTAAATGTAACATTGTATCTCTGCAGAGACTACACACACTGTTTGTATCCCTGTGCAGAATAGCCTTGTTGAAGAGGTGACCTGTCTTGTTGGAGAGATCTGTTTGACAGACGTCTGTAGAGGTACTGTTTAAATTAAAGAGCTCATTTACAGCTTTGTATTTTAATTCTGGGCTACTACAGTAGCTTGGTGTGATTCACAGTTCAGCTAAAGGTTGTGTAACCTGCACTGAGCCAAGCCACTGTAGCTACTACAGCTGCTCATTTCAAACAGAAGGTTTCATCAGCAGGTGGGTGGACCCTCTGTACCCACAGCAAGGGCTGTGTGTCTGAGGTGACCACAGCATGGACGCCCCCTCTCAATAACATTGTATGGAGCCAAGAAGAGAAAGTACAGTCTGACACAGAGCATTGAGAGGAGTCTGAAGCTTTAGCTGTACATACACTGACCTCATTCATTTAAACTAGGGCCATGCTTGTTGTAAGCCTTCATTTGCAGTGTGTATGCATTTTTGTCATTTAGAAATGAAAAGCATTTTTATTTCACAAACATAAATGTGCATCAAGAAACGCGTTTCATTATATACTCATGTATTCTTGTTTTTCAGATCTAAAAGAGGAAGCTGAAATGTTGATGGAGGAGTGTGAGCTGCAGGAGCGCCCACCTTCCCAACAAAATGAGGTAAGAAAGGTAAAAATGAATGAATTCAGTTTAAAGTCTAAATCTAAATATGGAGACTTGACATTTTATGTTTTAGGACTGTCCCTAAAAGACATCTGTCATAAATATCACATGGTTGATGATTCACTGACCTTAGGCTATGCGGGGCGATCGTGGCTCAAGAGTTGGGAGTTCGCCTTGTAATCGGAAGGTTGCTGGTTCGAGCCCCAGCTCAGACAGTCCCGGTCGTTGTGTCCTTGGGCAAGACACTTCACCCGTTGCCTACTGGTGGTGGTCAGAGGGCCCGGTGGCGCCAGTGTACGGCAGCCTCGCCTCTGTCAGTGCGCCCCAGGGTGGCTGTGGCTACAATGTAACTGCCATCACCAGTGTGTGTATAGTGTAAAGCGCTTTGGGGTCCTTAGGGACTAGTAAATCTATACAAATACAGGCCATTTACCATTTTTAGGCTATGGATGTTCCTGGAAAGTTGCTTTTTTGGTTTGGGTTTTTTTTTTTTAAGTTTATGATGCTTTTAACATAGCAGTGTAATATCTTAAACACAAAATGTATTTTTTGGCACTGAAAAGTACTAATATGGCCAGCTAACAGGGGGAGCAACATTCAAGCATCTAACTTGTCGTGTATTTCTACACTCCTGCAGTCATGTGGAAGAGTTTTCACAGGACTACACATTTCTAAGAACACTATTACTGCTTCCTTATTAATTAAGTAGCAGCCAGGTGCTAATGTGCAAATGCATATCATTAACTGATTATCTTCAGGTGTGAGCACCTCTGTAAAAGCAGGAGTTTTGGCACTTCTCTGTATATAAAAATATTCTAAAGCCAAATGTGAGGCCGTCTGTCCACCAGCTGAAGCTTGGTTTAATTAGATCATGCAACAGAACAATGATCCCTACGCACAGCAGCAGATCTGCAAAAGAAATAGAACAGCCAGAGTCCAGACTCAGCCCAGTTACAATGCTGTGCTGAGAGAAAAACCTCAGTGAACTGAAGCAAAGACGAGTGGATCCTTCTCCGATACTGAGACTGACACTCATACAGAAAATTATTTGCTGCTCATGATAACTGTTGTTCTACAAGATGTCCAATCATGAGGTGTGCTTCATTTTTCTGCACGAGTGCTGTGAATGTTTTGTTTTTGTTTTCCACATGACTGCAAGTGCTTACATTTTCTGTTGGGTATTTAACAGTATGTTCAGTGCACACTGCTTATGCACGTGCTCTTCATTGTACCACCGACGTATCTAGAAGGCACTCACGTTAGCCTAAAAAATACCAAACACACATTACTGTTTTTTCATTCAACCTTTTAACATTTCCAGAGTTTTGATGACAGTGTGCTGACAGATGAACTGCCTTCTCCTTAGGACAGTTTTGGTAAGTTTTGTTCTCCAGAATAATCCGGTCATTCATACAATGTAACCATTGGAGTAGGAAGTAGTAATAGAAATGAAGAGCCTGCCATTGGGTGCTTCTTATTCTGCAAACATGTCTAATCACTTTCTTGTGCCTCCACTTCTTTGATGCTCATAGTAAAATATAATAAATAACCACGAGTGTGGAGCTGAGTGATGTTTCAGAAAGCAGGTGTAACAAACTCTGAGTCTAACTGAACTCTGATGGTGCAGTCAACTCAGTGCAGCTCGATACCAGAATTTCCAACAGACAAAAAACCAGGAGAGCTAAAATATCAATATATGATCGATGAATAGAAAAGAGATTTTATTCAGCCTCGTCAGTCAACTTTTACACTTGGCTTTTGTGTGTGTTGGTAGATGAGGTGTTCAGCAGTAACCCGATGGGAGTGTACATGACAGCAAGCTTATGTGGCCCAAACTGGAGGGTGTTTTTCTTTTCCTTTAAAGAATGATTGTTCTGTGATATCAGACATTAATCTCGGTGATCTGCAGCGGCAAAGTTGTTGAGATTCAAACTTTCAAATAAGGCAGCATTTAAAACTGCAGAACTCAGCCAGAGCAGCTTGTTGAAGCAGTGGTCAGCAGCAGTTACTTGAAGCAATCATTTTGTCTGTGACACACTGGCAGAAATGTTGGATCAGTCTTCTTCACAACAAAGCTTCAGTTCTTTGAGGTTTGCTGCTGTGCTTGAATTCCAGTCGAGCTTAAGTTTGGTTGACTCAGTGAGTACAAAGTGTCCAAGTCACGTGGCTGCAAAACAAATCTGTCCTCAGCCTTCCACCTCTGTGACAGTTTGTACGGGGTGTTTGTGATGTAACAGCCCAAAGTCAGATGTAACTTTGCAAACCTAAGTTGTGCTGCCAGAGGCTTTCCCCCGGCAGCCGTTCCAAGTAATTCCTACTTATTCAGTGTTTCTGTAGTTTTACTGTCATGAACTCCAACTTTACTGAGGCTGAGCTGTAGCTCAAACCTTTGCTCTTATAGACATGTGACGGTGGATTTAGGGTTTCTCAGGTTTGTAAGAGTCCTGTGACGACTTTGTTTTTCACACAGCTGTAGATTCTAGATTTTTTCTGTGATAGTGAGTCTGCAGTGTCGAGTGATTGCTCTCAGTCCCTGAGCCATGTTAAAAGAAACCTTGAGTCTTTCAAAAGATATCAAATCTTTATCAACTGTATGAATGAAGAATTAAAACTGCCAGCTGCTTCAGGCACAGAAACTCGGGGCGTGTTGAAGAAAACCTGTCACGGTGCAGGTTAGCATCACGCGCTGCTGCTCTTGTAACTGACTCGGAGCTGAAGTTGGCGTTCTGTCAGAGTTTCTTCATCTCAGAGTTTCCACTAAACCTGCTTTCTGGAACATGGGCAGATACAGATACCGGTCTGTTTGTTCTGAATGAGTTATGATGTTGATGTATGACATTACCATTGAAAGTAGGAGGAGACACAAAGCCGTTTTTGCTGACTGTTGCTTTGTTGCTGCCAACTTCCTTTTAGGAATCCAGCTGTCAAAGCTGTTCTGCTGAGCAGCAGCCGGCAGAGTGACTGCCTCTTCTTTTCGTTTTGGACATTAAATAGAAGATTAGTGTAACTGCATATTGTTTTGTGTTTCAGATAGGTGCAGTTCATTTTTTGTGTTCATTTTAAGTGCCCAATGCCAGTGTTGTCATTGTTTTGGCTTCTTTGTGTGTTATCGTCCTATCGCTCATAGCCTTTGATCTGCTTATTTCATTGTTCCTCTAAAAACAAACAGCCACGAAGCTAAAAGTCTTTATATGGTAATAGTTGATAAAACATGAGGAGTTTGTTTTGATAAACTGCCAAACAATTCTTTAGATGTTTGAGTCTTGAGTTTATTTGCTCTGGTTTCAGTGGCTGTTGTGAAATGCATGAAAAAAAAAAATCTGTATTTGGTGTTAATCCACGAGTTGAAGCAAATTTGTGTTGGCACAATAAATATTAACATTCAGTGCACACGAGTCATGGTTTTGCTTCCCCGTTTCATTAGTTCCATTTTGGTGTTTCTGTAACATTTTATTAAAAAGGAACACGTCTTGGAAATGTTTCATGTTTGTCCCTGTAAAACATTTAGATCATCGTCCTCGTGGTGTTGGAAACAGTTGCTTTATGAACATACCCAGTGTTTAAAAACCACTTTTACAAGCTACAGATGGATATCTTTACTTTTATAGAGATATCTAGATATAGAATGGGACACTGATTAATATCAGTAAGGCGATGTGCAACGAGATGACTGTGGCTTCATATAAACAAACATAACAGTTCTGTTGTCACACATTAGTGGACACCCAGCTGTGCAGGGATATCAAACTAATTTGACATCGTAGCCACATACAGCGGGTGGGACGGGTGAAACTACATGATACACCTGTAAAGTTACAGAAAAGGTTTCATTGCTCACACTGTCCTGTAATTATACATTTAGAATGTAAAGTTTCCATGAGTTCACAGAAAATGTCCTTGTGCGTCGGTGTGGTACGGCTGGCAGTGACCAACAGGAAAAGCTGTAAGACACATGAAAAGACAGAAGTTCAAACTCTATGCAGTCCTTCGTGTTTCTAAAGCTCTCCAGTGGGTTGAATTGGAGTCTTTGCTAGGGCAGTTTTGGCCCTCGGGCCTTATGTTTGACACCTTGTTGCTTGTCAGTTTTCTCCTTTCTCCCATTCACAGAGCGCCCGGAGCAAGCTTCATAACTGAGACAGGTTTAATTCACTGCCCGTTTCTGTCGTCTTGTTGCCTTAGTATTTTAATTTGTGGACTCCCTTTAAAGATTGAATTTTACAGCCTTACTGCCACAAACTGATCAGTGAAGTGTCTTTAAAAATGAGTGCTAAACATTTGTAAAGAAACCAGATTTATTGGATTTCTGTTGTGTATAAATGAAGTGTATAAAAGTTACATAGCACTGACCAAGGAAAGAACTGTACGGTGGCTTATGGCCAATGGGATATTTAAAGCAGCTTTTTAGTGTTTACAATATTCATTGAAAGATGTTCTTGAAGTTACTGGATGCCTTTAACATGCTAGCTTGTCTAATAATCTTTATCACATAATTCTATAATCATCTTTTTCTATTCTATAACTTAAGATGGTCATCATAGGCCGCATTACATAATCACACAGCAATCAGAGTACCTTGTCTTTGCTCAAAGGTCCAAAGAGGTACAGAAACATTTGGATTTATTTACACTAAAAGATAAAAACTGATTACAAAGATTTGTTCAAGAAATTGCAGCTAATAGTAAAGATGTCACCAACAGTGAGAAGAAAGTTTCAAGCTGCTCGTATGCAACATTCAGGCCTCCTGAAACAAACACTACGCTGAGTGCTTGGTCCATCCAGAAAAAATAAATCCATCCTTTGATGAGGTAGAGATTAGATTTCCATCTGATTACTGCTTAAAAAATGCCAAGTAGGCCTGACTTGACATTTTAAACCCTTTGCACTGACTCCTGCGCCCAAGGCGAATGTGAGAGGCCACAGTATAAGAGGCACAGAGCCGGTTCAGATGGCGGACTGAAGCAAGTTGACATTAGTTCCTGGGATGAGGTTTTCATCTTCTCCGTTGATCAGAGGATCCCACTGGTTAAAGTTCTTCTCCAGGCCTGCAAGAGTTTTGCACAGAGGAAAGGGGAGTAAGCAGAGAGTTCAGTCGATCTCTCAGCCAACTCCTCACAGCTCAGCTGATACTGTACACATCTTACTATTAATCCTGTAAAAACGGCTTTAATGTGCCCACAGCTGTGTTCCTGCATTACATGATTAAATCTGACGAACGACTAGCAGGAGCGCTTACCGAGATGGCGTTGCAGAAACGCTAGTGTTGCTTTATTGCACAGGTCTATGGCGAGCTCTGGGTCGATCTCTCCTTTGAGTTTCATCAGCTTCCCAATCCAGTTGCTTGTGAGAAAGGTGAAGTCTGGGAAACTCTGGTGGACTGTACCTCTGAAAGAATGCAGGTGAAGAAGAGACATCATCACAAAATCAGCCCAAATTACCCCCAAAGTCTCTGAAAGTGCAGCAGACCAGTACTGGTACCTGATGGTGATCATTTTCCTCTGTATGACGGCCGAGTCGAGCTTCTTCATGCGGCTGATGTTTCCCGCCCACTGGAACTTCTCTGAGTTGATGAAAAAGATTGGCTGCTTCACCCGAGGAAAGATCTCATCGTCTAAAGGAGTCATCCAGGAGTCTAGCGCTACTCCACACCTGTTTATACGATAGCAGGCCAGGGTATTACTTTCAATAATCTGGGTCTGTTACTGCTGCCTGTAACACGTTTCTAATTTATACTAAGCAAAGTGAAATGCCCTCATGCACACAGCTCTAGCCCTGCAGACATTATGGACAATAAGTGATAAAAGACTGGAAACCATAAAAACTTACTTGAATTTAACCTCTTTACACAGAGCCTCTATGACTGTTGCTCCTCCGAACGAATGGCCCATCACTGCTATCCTGCACAGGTCCATGGAGTTCTGTTACCAAGAACATGAGAGAGAATTAAGAAATCAGCACAAATTAAATTGTACTCCACTGCGTTTCACATTTTTCCTGATCACAGATTAAAGTCTGCTGATGTTCTTTATGCAAAACAGCATTTCATGAACTTTGGACTCTGCAGCTGATAGATAAGCTGAGGCTAACACAAGTTTTTCCTCAGTGCACTTTCAAAAGTCATCTGAACCTAGTTGATGTCATTTTATTGTTTATACACACACGGCAGCACAAAAAGTAAGAACTTTGTGTTTGATGCTTCTTGCCAATGATCTTCTACAGCTGCAAAGTATATTTGGTGCCACATTTGTAAGGAAACGCATTTGTGCGTTGAGCAGCAGAGTTGAGTACGCGGGCCAATGCCAAACAGCTTATTCTGTGTCGACTCTTGTGTGGCGTTGAATGGGATGAGCAAAGTATGAAGAAACAAGACATATCGGCAGTTTAACAGTGTTTTTCACAAGTCAGCCAACAAAACCAAAAGTAGTGGTTGAAGAATGGGAAGCTATACCACAGCACTGCATGACCAGCACGAGGAGCAGGTGCCATGCTGTTGTGGCCGTGTATGGTTCTTCCACATGCTGTTGTGGCCGTGTATGGTTCTTCCACATGCTGTTGTGGCCGTGTATGGTTCTTCCACATGCTGTTGTTATGACTCTTATGTCTTCAGAGTTCAATAAATGACACCAAATAGAAGATTTGGCAACTTTTTCAAACTTGTGGCAAAATGTGGCACCATTAAAAGGGGAAATAAATAAGCCTGGTCTAAGACTTATTGCCAATCAAGTCAACTAAATGAAGACTTTCGGTGCCAAGCTTATATATAAAAACAAAAAGTGCTGGTAAATGAACTTTGGAAGCTCGAGACTTTAGGGACAGTTGCAATAACCACAAAGATACAACACTGCTAGAAACACTCGTTGGTCTTCTAAGCATCACACAGCAGGATGCAACAAACCCTGAAACAGATGTTCCAAATGTACAAGTTGACTTTTTGTGAACTAAGAAATGATTAAGAAATTGAACAAGTGCGGGAATTGTGAAGTGGGCGTGTCCTACGTTAAGGATGTGCACACAGGAAGCAGTTCACTCATCAACCATTCATCGCTTTGGAGCTGATGTTTGTTGCAGACACTCCGTGCTGTACATACTTGGCACCTGCCCCATATGTCAATCAGCATCATCTTTGCAATACTTCACCTCAAAGCTTAGAAGAGTTGAGTGCTGGGGTTAGCCTACATCACTTTGTCTGTGGTTTCTTCGCCCAGCTTGAAGTTGCACCACTGTGGTCTCTGGTCAAAAACTTGCCGTTGCTTCCTGATCTACTATTTAAACTTTTCTCAGTTTCAAGTTGAGCAATCGAAGCAGTGAAGAATACCCCTGACTGACACACGACAGGAGTATAAATGGATTGGAAGTTGCCTAGGTAACCAGAGGCTGGAATGTCTGCTTCCTACGACGGGGGTCCACACAGGATCGCTCAGAGCACCGCTTTGTTGCCGACGGCTGGTTGCTAGGTTAACCCTTTAATGTATGTACCACTCTGTCATGTGTCAGTAACCAGCACACTTTGCTCTCCCAGGTAACAGCATCAGCTGTTCACCTCGAAGGTGAGAAGAGTTCAGCTTTAGCTTTAAACACTGTAAAGCTAAGAGGCTACAACTGGTGCCTTTTAGCTTTGATCAAACTTTGATCAAACTTCAAAGAGACTTCTGCGTTTCCTGGAGCCTTGTGACACTTGCCAACTTGCCCCATGCTCGTGTTACAACGACTTTCTGCGTCTTGTGACACATTTCCATTATTGTGTTTGCTACCACGCACTGCATGACATGCATGCATGTCACAGCCAGAGGTAACCAAAAGCTTACCTTCAGCGTTGACCAGTCAAAGTGCGTCTCCAGAACATTCTGCACTGAGATTCCTGAGTTGATTTCAGTGAGTTTATCCAGAGCCAGAATGCATTCATCTGCTCTTTGTTTCACCTGAAAGATGAAACAAATGAATTCATTCTGTTTCTTTAAGGTGCCATTAATATTTACCTTTACATTCATGACATCTGTACAGATACGACAAACAAAACCATCTTTTTCCCCTACTATGGGATCTATATACTCCCGGTCTCCCTAAACTTTTGTTTATGGTGGGCAGCCAATCAGAGGGAGCTTCTCTTAAAGGGAGGGGACAGGAAGTTATAGTGGAGCTGAGCTGCTGCACTTGGACCCAGTACAAGATAAACCAGGATTGTGTTGAACTGTGAGTTTTGCGAAGCTACTCTGATGAACAGAAAAAAAAAAAGAAATATCCCTCGCCTTAATCGTAGATTTAAAAAGCCAACTGCTATCTGCAGTCCCTCATTCCTTTCAGCTTTAAGATAAACGGGATGTGACCACACGCTTGCCGTTTAACGTGACGTGCCCAGATGAAAACAGAAGAATGTCAGCTAGAACAAACGAGGATGTGGTTTGATTTTAACATCAGTGCCAAGCTGCCTGTGAGTAAGCGGGTATGAAGTTCACATCTGATGCAATCAAGAGACTGAATTTTAAACCCACAGAGGGAGTCTGTGGGTAATCTCTGCGACAACATACTTGTTTGTTTCTGAGGGGGAATTCGCTCTCTCCGTGCTGCAGAGCTCTGTAGTACATCCACTCCTTTACCAAGTTCTGTTGGGTGGCACCGGATGATTTTGTCAAACTTGCATTTGACCTTTCTGACTCTGGCTTCTCACAAAAATAATACGTAGCTGACGCCGACTGGTCTCTGTGGGAGAAAAATAAAAGCATAACCTGTAGTTCCAGCCCTGGGAACAGATATTACTTCCTTCATGTTACTTGGAACAATTAGGGTTTAGACACATGCAGAGGACACATCCTGTTTGAGGCAGCGTGTGGCCCTCTCTCTGTAAGAAGCACAGTCACTCTCATGTTGTTGCTCTGACACTGCAGCCGTGTGCTCTGTCTGCGGCTTTGTCAGCATGTCGCCGGCTGCTAAAATTCAGCAAAATAACACTTCCATCACCATAAGTGACAGGCCAGCTGTGGCCATTATGTTCATCTCCATATGGTCCCCCTTGTCTGCATACTGAAAAGAATTGTGATGAGCTGGTTCATACCATTGTCTGCACACCCTTTCCACTCTTACTCCACACATAAACAGACAGCCAAGCAAACAATAGCAGAGGACAAACGTTCAGCTACGATTTCCTCCAAATGAAGATGACAAAGAACACCGATTTCAAACTCATTTTACATCGTGGGCCACATACGACCCACCTTAAGTGTGGGGACCACTTAAGGTCAGAAACTCCAATTTCTGCCAGTGTAAAGATGTTGAAACAATTAATCCCTGAGATATCTTCATATGAGGAAAAGAAGTGCAACTGCAACAGTTTGTCTTAGTTTTATGTTACATGTGTAAAATAAGAGAAACACTGTTGCTAGCTCATTGTGCACACTGTCATGCATTTAGAATAATGTACTTTTCTATAATAAAAACATCTATAGTAGATGCTCAAAAAATGGGAACTTTTCTGTCATTTAATTTTTTGTATCTATCAGTAACTTTCTGGTGTAGCATGGACACGATGGTCTGCAAAACTTTAAATACAGTTAAAAGTTCCAAATCCATAGAGATGAGAGAACAGAACCTTTATTTGTCAGTTGCCCACAACCGAGATGACAGACCTTGCCGACCGCACATACACAACATCACACGCTTTCCAGCGATTGGAGTCTCTGCCTGGCCGATTCTGGCCCCTGGGCCCTATGTTTGACAGCCCTGCTATAGAACAGTTGGCGCTTAATGGCATGAAAATGACATATGAACTAAATTGGAAAATTACCTGTGTTCCACTGATGCCACGATGAAGCCCTGAGAGGCCATTTCTGCACATATCGCTGAATACAAGGTCCTGAGAAACAATCACAGCAGCCACAGTGTGAGCAGAACTTGTAACGGGTTATTGCTGCAGGAGTGATGAAATAAAAAAACAAATGCATTGTGTGTGTACCTAAAGGCTCCCAAGCCGTGGGAGAAGATGATCACGGGACATTTTTCATTCGATTTAAATGGAGCATCCAAATAGGCTGGGATCTTGAAGGAACCTGAAATAGATGAAAATGAGGAACATTCACTTTGCCTATTTTTTTAAACCACATTAGAAAATGAAAGAAACCAGCTTTCTATTTTTTTAGTGACTAAAGTCATATAATATTGCTGTCCTGACCAAATACATTTGACTTTTACACCACAGAGAAATGGACTGTCAGGTTGGAGGTGGAAGCACAAGCACACAAGACTTGAGAAAAAATAGTCAATTTTATGCCATGAAATCATTAGAAATACTGGATTTTCCTAATTTATTCACCAAAGAGGTAGTTGAAGATCCTTTCACTGAGGGCCCTGTTCATTTTCATGAAGTCAGCCAAACCATTAAAGTACTCCTTGTATGGGACCCAGTCAGGCTTCCCTGCACTTTCCATCTCCTGACAGGGATAGTACAGCCGGAAGAAGGTGCCCTGTTGGAGAGACAGACAGTTCAAGCAACTCAGCAGAAGGCCATTTGCTCCCGTGATGTCAGCAGCCTGTTTGGCCCAATACCTGCTTTCCATAATACCCGTGGGTACCCAGCCCAGCATCTGCAGCACACTCAAGAATGTCAAATACAGATATGTGACCTCAGCTGTTACATGTCAGCACGAACAAAGGTTTTCTTTTGCTTGTACCTCTGCAGTGTGGTCCATCATGAAGTCAGTGCAGCCCACAGCGTTTGGGCCGTTGCCTGGAGGGATCCCGAGGTGGTTACTGCAGCTGCTGCCCATGGTGAAGAAACTGAGCGCGGACCTCCTGTGGTCTGGCAAATAGAAACACACACACGTGTACATCAATACTGCTGCTCTATAAACGGGAAAGATAACAGCACTAAAAGTCGGACTATTTCTGCACGGAAGCTACTGACTGCAATGAACAAATGTGTATACGCAGACTGTATCATTGTATCGTTTATTAGTATCAAATGAAAGGCAAAAACTTCTTCACTGTGGTAACTGTAACCAGCCGTATATGTCGCGAAGTTTACCCTTGATCTAACCGCAGAGCCCCACACAATCGCACATTTAACTAAACGGGTCGAAGTGTTTGTGCTGTCAGTTAAAACCAAACCCAAAACGTGGCGTGTTAACTCCTACCTGTCCTCGCCCACGCGTTAAATCTCTTGACTCCTAACTGAACAAACCCCCCATAAGAAAACAGCGACCTAACCAAACGTCCACTCTAGCCGCCGGTAACACTCGTTAAATAAAACAAAAAGCCTACCGGAGATACAGAAGTGCGAGCGCTGCCCGCTGTTTCTGCATCGGTTTCGCAATAACACCGTGGACTGACAGAGCAGTCACCGGATAAATGTACAACTTTGGGAGTGGTTAATGTTTTTGTCAGCTAGCCGCTGCTAGCATAGGAGGGGGCTAAACCAGAGTAGTGGATGAACGGTGTTGAGTCACTGTGGCAGTCCTGCCTTTGCCGGCCTAATGGCGTCCCCCCAACTGAAACCTTAATGACCTACATGCCATATTATTTAACAGTTGGCAATCATGCTGCTATCATTACTGTAATTACGACATTGGCGGCTCTAAATATAAACTCAACCAGGCGTATGAAATTGTGTTAACTGCTCTGTATACGGCTCTGGTTTATCGCAGCGACTCTCGCTGACAGCTCTGGGATCACTTGTTTACAACAATCATCGACCCTTTAATTCATATTTTCATTAATATCGTGTGAGCCAAGGTGCTGTTGCCAAAGCAGCTGCATATAAGCGCTGGCTTCTCCGTGAAAATGGCATTTTAAAGTGTCTGTACTTTTGATGCGACTCCGCGTCTGTTGGGGGCAGCAGAGGGCAGCCGAGCGGGAAACAAAGCGAGGAGGGAGCAGAAGAACGATGCTGCGTTAGCAAAGCTAACTGTTTTCAACTCATTTATCAGCAACTCCTTGTGTTAAAGATGAAATTGGTGAGTAAAAAGCAGATCAGTGAAGAGAACAATGAATGTAGGAATCGTCGAAAATGATTAACATACGCACCCAAAAGTGACTGTTAGCTGGAAGCTAATAGCGTTTTTTGGTACAGTTGAATAAAGTTTAATAAAGGCGAGCAGCGAACAGCAAGTCAGTACAGCGTGAAGTGTTTAACTATGCATACGAAAAAACGGAAACACAATCCCCTGGTGTCGTGTTTATCCTGTTTTACTGTATCTTTGTACTCCTACACACACCTGTGGTTTTAACGGTGCATTCCCTCCTTGCAGTACTGTCTGTCGGGTCATCCCACATTGCCCTGCAATGTCCTCAAGTTCAAGTCCACCACTATCATGTTGGACTGTGGATTGGACACCACCTCTGTCCTCAACTTCCTGCCCCTGCCTTTGGTGCACAGGTGAGTCACTGACAGTAATTCATTCACTCGTGGATAACAGATATGTTTTGCTTGATGATGATGATGATCCTTTTTTTTTCAGTCCAAGACTTTCCAAGCTACCTGGTTGGGTCTCTAAGGATGGAACAATAAATTTGGAAAAGGCACGAGAAGCTGTTTGTAATGTGCTTAGGTTACTTGCCGTGTATTTCAACTTACTGCAGTTTTTTATGAAGATGTGCCGATTTATCTGTGGGGGAAAAACAGTTTCGCCTTATGCTTGCAGGAGCTGAAGGAGTGCGCAGGGAGGGTGTTTGTTGACGCACAGCCAGAGTTCTGTCTCCCTGAGGTAGACATCCCTGATACTTCGTCTCTGCATCAGTGTTATAGCTTGTGCTAGAATGTCTTTCTGCAAAACAGGGGCCACTGTGAAGCATCAGAGTTGCAGCAAATCAACCTATTTGAAACAAATAATAAGAAAGAAAAAGAAACCTGATAGGCCTGCCACAATTGACAAGAATAGGGGAATCCTCTCAGAGAAATCAGTTACTATGATCAGCACAGTGTGATTACCACGTCTTTTACCTTCACAGTAGACCCTAAAACATAAATCTTAATAAATACCTGAAGTACCACAATGATATTTATTTAATCTGAATAACCCACAGAGAGAACTGTTGGACCTGTCCACCATCGATGTCATCCTAATCTCAAACTACCACTGCATGATGGCCCTGCCTTACATCACAGAGCACACCGGCTTCACCGGGACAGTGTACGCCACGGAGCCCACGCTGCAGATTGGCAGGTGACAGATGCAGGGGATGAATACCACATCTTACTATTTCTGTGTTATTTTTGTGATATCATTATTATTTTATTTGGTAAAATGAGATACAGGTCACACGTCTTCGGTTGCATTTACGCTCGTTCTTCCTCCTTCCTTCCTTAGGCTGCTGATGGAGGAGCTGGTGAACTTCATGGAGAGAGTTCCTAAAGCCCAGTCTGCCACGTCCTGGAAGAACAAGGAGATACAAAGGTAGTCTAGTTTTGTAAAAATACTGTGTGTGTGCGTTTTGTGACACATGAAATGCAGTTACTGACTTTGTTTTAGTCATTTTTGAAGTTTCATTTTCCATTCACCTAATTTGTCTGGTGTTTTGTTACACCTCCACTAACAGGGTGGTGTAACTCCACCGTTCAAATGAATACTTGTATTATTGCATTAGGATGCTCCCGGGGCCGCTGAAGGATGCAGTTGATGTGTGGATGTGGAAGCGATGCTACAGCATGCAGGAGGTTAACTCTGCACTCAGCAAAGTGCAGCTTGTGGGTTATTCACAGAAAGTGGTGAGAATTGATTCTGTCCAGGAGATATTTAAGATTTCACATTTTTGCTTTCGTGCACTGGTGACTTCTCGTCTTTTTTCTCGTTTGTTTTTCTTGCAGGAGTTGTTTGGAGCTGTACAAGTCTCCCCTTTAAGCTCCGGCTACTCGCTGGGGAGCTCCAACTGGATCATCCAGTCTCACCATGAGAAGGTGTCCTATGTGTCTGGCTCATCTCTACTCACCACACATCCTCAGGTAGGCCAGCAGGCGTAATGCTTCACCATTTCAAAGTCTCCTGGGCGCAACCCTTGAAGCTTTTTTCCTGAGCTGAGTGATTTCTGTCATATTTCGGGGCTGTTTACAGAACAAACTGACAAACTGCGTGTGCAGCAGTCAGGGAGGGGGGTCTCTGCTGGTGCAGCTAAACCACGTCGTTATTGATTTTTACTAAGGTGTCAAAACTTGTCATTGAGGGTCCAGCGGAGGTCATCACATGTCGTCTTTATGGGGGAGAAAGTTAAAGTTTGAAGGGATCGAGGACAAAACCGTCACGATGTAGAGTGGAAAGAGTGCAGTCTGTTATTTGTTTAGTCACAGATTTCCTTTTTCCTGTGCTCATTCTTTTGGAAGCTAAATCTTTAGGCGAGTGTTTGTCAGTGCACGCTGTCATTGTTTGAATCCAGCCTGTTCTGTCCTATCACAACTACTCTGCAGTTTCTCTTCTTCTCTGCTCCCAGCCCATGGACCAGAGTTCCCTAAAGAATAGTGACGTCCTCATTCTGACAGGCCTCACTCAGATGCCTACTGCCAACCCAGACGGCATGCTGGGAGAGTTCTGCAGTAACTTGGGTGGGTTTTAATGTAGCGCTCAGATTTCTGTGGCGTGTGAAAAGAACCAAACGTTGAAGTCATTCTTGTATCATTTAAGTGGAACTTGAATGATGTTGTCTGTGCTTGTTCTTCTGCGTTCTGCAGCCATGACCATCCGGGCAGGAGGAAATGTGCTGGTGCCGTGCTACTCCTCGGGAGTGATCTACGACCTGCTCGAGTGTTTGTACCAGTTCATAGAGAGCGCCAACCTGGGGACCACGCCCTTCTACTTCATCTCACCCATAGCCAACAGCTCGCTGGAGTTCTCTCAGATCTTCGCCGAGTGGTGAGCGGCCGTTTATCGAAAGCTTCTCGATTCTGTGGTGAAAGTTTGTGATTTTAGGTTTTACTGTTTTTCTTCAGCATGTGCTCGGTTAGCTTGTGCTCATTTTTCCACGTCTTCCACAACAAGTCATGATGCAGTCACTCTGATAAGTAGGAACACAGTATCGATGTTTTGTTACTTGATAGGAGTGCAACAAACAGCAGAGAGACGATAACGTGTGACTGTGGAATATTCCACGTGCTTTTTCTTTTTCTCCAATATTTCAGGCTTTGTCACAACAAGCAAACAAAGGTTTATCTCCCAGAGCCGCCTTTCCCACACGCAGAGGTGAGTCAAGAACACTGGCTGTTAGGCCTGAGCCGTATCATACCGCTCACGGTAACACCAGTCAGGCAACGATAAGAAAATGAAACATGGCGATAGAATATGGGTGAAACGCGCATGCGCAGTGCTTTTGTTTTCATACGCACATGGCGGCGACGCAGAACGAGAAGAGCGAAAGTGGATCGTTGAATGAAACAGATGAACCTGAACTGGTTTGTAAAAATGCTGCAGCTTCACTGGTGTGGAACTGGTTTAGCTTTCGTCCGTCAGATACACAACAAAGCACTATTTTTGGTAGCGCATGCTAGCGGGCCGTCGTTGTTACCGAACCGATTTTATGTGCACGGCGCTCGAAATTCTGTCAAATGTTTCAGTACGACTTTGCTGAGCTACGAAGCCGCACCTCTTGATGGATTGTTGGAGCATTATGGCTATTGTAGGCGGAGCCTCGCGGAGCGATACGTACTGTGCTTCAACATAATGTTACCGTATTGTGTGTGTATAACCTCTTTTTAAGTTGTGTGGATGTTATACATGGTTATGCTGAGGATGTGTCGGCCAGTTTCCACTGGAAACGCCTTTGGTTAAACTGTCAGCGAGGAGTTTGCACTGTTACATTTTATATAACTTTAATGCAAAAAACAGCTGCTTGTTGAAGTGAAAATACTTTGGTGGGTGTTTTGCACTAATAAAGTATTTTGTCTCGCGTTAATTCTATCGTCAGTTATATCGTTAGCACACATTTTCAAATATATATGGTGATAAATATTTTTGGCCCTGCCCTACTGGCAGTGCACTTCTCCTTTATACTGAAAATAATCATTATATTATAGGGAACCTACTTTTTTTAGGTTTTTAACTTGAGGTCCCAGTGGAGGTCATCAAATGTCGTCTTTATGGGGGAGAAAGTTAAAGTTAGAGATGGACCGATCTGATATTACGTATCGGTCCCATACTGACCTAAATTACTGGATCGGATATCGGAGAGAAATAAAAAATGTAATCGATCCGTTAAATATCACAAAAGCACCTCACAAAACTTGCGACATGGCGTAACTCGGCTCAAAACCTCAGCACGTCGGAGCCGTGTGCATCACGCGATAGAGCGTCTGTGGCGTGCGAGACCTGTTGGCGGTCTGGTTGAGCGTTTGGAGCCTCGCTACCAAACCAGCATTTCATCTCTGAGGAAGTATTTATGTTTTATGCAAATTCATGTTTGGTTGGAGAAAACTTTGAATTGGAAAGCATTAGTCAAATAGTATGTTCGACCAGGCCAGTGCTGTCACAAGTCATTAATAACAGATGACATGTAGCCATGAGTTGCATCAAATGTGAGTGAGATGTGCTTTTGCCTGGAGCGCATCATACCTCTAACACACGTTATAAAAAGCAGAGTCGACTGATACAAAGATACCAGGATGAAAACACAAGTACACCTGTGGAGCTGGTGACGAGGTCACGTTGATAAACTGGTGCTTGAATGTGCTGCTGATGTT